CCGATTCTGCCCTGCGGCGCTCACTTAAAGTGTATGAGACTTTTAGATATTTGTCTACTTTTGGCTTGTATGTCTTGCCTCATAAAAGCCCAATGCCTTATAGGTTCGGCTAAACCTCATCTCAAACATGGAAGAGGTCAATTCCGTGGTCGGCGTTGATCATCTCTCCAACAGTCTTCTACCCGCGATCGTAGACTTGGCCCGAGTACCCGTCTGGCGGATTCGAATGGCGGTAATCAACCAGATGCCCATGCTGGCCGATCAGCTGGGGGAGAATTTCTTCGATGAGAAACTCATGCAACACTTCTTCAGCTGGCTCATTGACGCTGCCTACGCCGTCCGGGAGGCTGCAGTCTTCAATCTCACACGCCTTACGCAGAAATTTGGTTCGGAATGGGCCAAGCAGATCTTTCTGTCTGAGGTAACCTAAACCTTTCATTAAGTTCGTTTACGACAGCAAACCTAATATAATAAGCCTACTTAAATAAAATTAGTAGGTGTTTTGGTGACATAAAATAAGGTTTCATATTATGTTTTAGATTATGATTAGAAAACATGAACAACTTTAAACTTCCTTTGCCGTTCCACTGAACTTTTCAGTGTATTCATGCATTATTTTTTTCTCAAGATTGTCAAATTGTCTCACAACGAGAACTACCTCCATCGAATGATCTGTCTGCAATGCATCATCCATCTCAGCCCCGTCCTTGACGCCTCTATCTCCAAGGACGTCCTTCTACCGACCGCCTTAAACATGAATCAAGATCGAGTTCCCAACGTCCGATTTAAAGTGAGTGCGCTCTACGCGTGCCGTATTATTATTATTATTATTATTTTAACCCTTTATCGACTCTTTATGTGTTTTCAGCATTCCATCATCAGGCCAGTACAATCGTGTAGTTGGACAAGGTTAATGTTATGACCCGCGCCTGGTACTGCTAATTAAGTCGAACGCCGAACCAAGTACCCGTAAGAGTGAGACAGAGAGAAGAGCGGTTGGCCGGAGAGAGGGAGTTTACTGAGACAAGCACGTTACGGCAATTCAGAGCAAGTCCTTGAGTGTGTCAGGTCCAATAAAATTAAGGCGACAAACGACGGTGAGCTAAGTCCATCGGACCAATCAGCCTTTGGCTGCCGGCTTGATTTGCTGAGGCTAGGTGGCTGAGATTCAGATTAACTTTTGAATTATCGATTGGGTGACCGCAAGTTTTGTTTGCTGCCTGTGGCCGATCGATAGCCTGCTGTGCGCGCGCCACTTGCGCAGGTTATATATATGTTAGTCGTCCGCTAACAGAGAAATCATGGGAATAGGCGAATTCCCAGCAGTTAATAAGTGTACTTTGAATACAACTCATCGTTTTCACGCCGCCCGCATGGCCTATAAAGGTCATTGCGCTATGGGAGATTAGTATAGGCTGTGAGCATTTGTCAGGGAGGTGGAATGAAAATTACTGTCATTTTCACGAGATGAACAACTCTTACCAGGGATTGGGAGCGATATGTGATCGCAACCTGGCGTTGGCTTGTGTTAGCGTCTTCTGACAGGACAGTACTGGGTTCGCTAGCCGTATATCCACTTCCTCGGCTGTTGCTAGCACCCTTTGGAGTAGGGTGCCGCCCTTTTTCCTGATAACGACGGCCAAGGGGAGCTAAACGGTTTGATAATCTTTCGATCTAGCATCTCATCTATCGTCATCGCCTGTCTGGTAGAACACAGGTAGTCGTCAAGGCGGAATCTAAATTGGTCGAGCTGTGTCCGTATCTATTTCATGTTGCGCAAATTTTGTTCAACCGAGAGAAGGGCCGTCCCAGTCAGTGCAGTAGAAACCATCCAATAATAGGTACCGTGCTACTAATACTGCCATTACTACTACTACTACTGCTAATTGCGATGCAACTGATTGATAGTAGTGCCAATAGACCCGACCTTTAGGTTTCTCCGCTTCCTGCAGATGGCTGCCTAGTCTAAATCCAAATTTGCTTCTTTCAGGTTGCCCAGGCGTTGGCGAAGATAGGTGAGGCCATTCCCTCCGACATGGTCACCTCCGAGGTGATGCCCTGCCTTCAGAGGCTAACAGAAGACCCGGATGTGGACGTCCG